CACACAGAATACACTATTCTACTTGGCATTCGAGGCCCCCCACATGCAGGCCCACCTCACCCAGCCAGCCTGGGCTCCTGTTGCTCCAGGAAGCCCCTCTGTCACAGAGACCATCCTCCTTATTTCCACACACCCAGGCCTGAGCCCTGTGTTCCTGTCCACTTTTCTCCATTCTGCCTTCATCCCTCAGGGCCAGCACAGGCACCACCTCCTTGGGAAGCCTTTCTACCTCCCTCAGCTCAAATTCCTTGAACATTCTAGGAGTGCTTCCTGTCACCTGACACATAACCACAGGCTGTTCAGCACTGTGATTCCCTGTACCTCGGGTGACCACCTTCCCTCCACACTGGGCTGTGAGCTCTTCCAGAGCTGGAACAGAGTAGGACTTCTTTATTACTCCCCTCCCCATCCCTAGTGACCAGCGCATGCCGGACGTGTAATAAGGACTTAGGCCTCCATCACTTCCCCGAGACCTCATCTCCTACCACCACCCATCCTGCCCTTGCCCTGCCCTACCCTGCCCTGCTGCAACCACATTGGTTCCCTTACCATTCCTCAGATATGCAGGTATCTTCCCAGCTCCAAGGCCTATGTACTTGTTAGTCTACCTTTATGGAACATTCTTCCCCTGGATGTACAAATAGTTCATGACTTCAACTCCTTTACTCAAATGTCACCTCCTCAGAAGACTTAACAGGCTACCCTCTCTAACACCATCCCAGCATTTCTTATCTCCTTGCCCTGTTGCGTTTTCCTTTAAAACTTTTAATATAAGATACAATTTACTCATTTGCTTTTAGCCTATTTTCCTCACAAGACATATTTTTGTTTTATTTTGTTTTGTCCACTTATTTTTTTTCTCCCAGTGGCTCAAGTAGTGCCTGATAGGAACCATTTTACCACACAAAATTTTGCATCCCCCTCTGGGCCATAGACACTAGACACAATCTGACTCTCTGAAAATACTTGCTCAAAACTTGTTTCCTAGACTACAAGTCAGGTGCCAGGCTCATCTGTGAGTTCTGCAGCCCTTGATGATAATATTGGCATTCACAGGGGCCAACAGGCAGATGGTCAACTGAGAAAGGTGCTGACTGGCAAGGCAAAGTAGAAAAGCTCAGAAGAAGCGAGATAAGTCACAAGCAGGATCACCTGTCTCTTCCTCTTGCTGGGGGGACCTCTCCCCTTCACTCTCACTACAGCTCCTGCTTCTTGGTCGCTTCCGGGAGTGGTGCTCATCCTCGATGCTGACTGGAGAGGCAGGAGGGCTTGTCACACCATGGTCCTCACCATTTTCCAGGGCCCTGTCTGGGCTCCTCTGTAGCTTAACCCCATTCTTGGCCTTCTTGAAGAGAACTGATGTGCGGCGGCCCACTCCACTAAGTGGGGTACCAGCAGGGTTGTCAGGAGCCAAGAGGGACAATCTATTGATGCCATTGTCATTGAGTAGGCGTTGCAAAGGCTCGCTCCCTAGCTGCAAAGGAGATTTTTCCAAGAGCTCATCTTCTTCCATCTTTTTGGGCTTTAGGATCCGGCTTGGAGGTTTGCTATCATTGATGGGTTTCAGGGTGGGAGGATCTGGGGGGGATTCTTGCTCAGACAAGGAAGGTGCAGGCCCAGTGGGCTCTAGGGTTGGTGGGGGAGGCAGTTTGGAGTCATCTGTTAGAGAAAAAGAGAATCTGCTTGAACATTTTAGATAGAGTCTGCCCCTATAAGCCAGATATTGACACTGATAACCAAGGAGAAATAGGATGAGTTATTATAAGGCTTAAGATACATCCCAGTTCTTAGATCTGAGGCAAAGAGAAAGTCAGACTTAAGTTTTACTCACACTAATAGTTCTCAACCTTGACTATAAGTAAGAATCATCCTGAAAGTTTCTTAAAAATTCTAATGCCTTGGGACCAGCACTTGGCATAATGGCTATGTCACTGGACTCCCATGTAGTCATCCACGGTTCGAGTCCTGGACCTGGCAGCTTAAACTCACTTTGGGCACGTGTGTGTGCGTGCCCAAGATCCCGAGAGGAGAATGGAGGAGAAGGGATTGTAGCGTGACCATCCCCCCAGGGGGTGATTTTAAGCTTTCTGTCTCTCTATCTCTGTCTTTCTGGCGAACACATGAGCCCTATAGCAAAACCTCTCCAAAAAAAACAAAAAATTCTAATGCCTGGGCCAGCAGGTGGAGTGGTGATTAAGGCACTAGATTCCCACGTGGCAAACCACAATTTGGTAGCAGATTCAAAATCATGATGGGCGTGATTGATTTGGTGCATGTGTGACCAAAATCCCAGGAGAAGAATGGAAGAGAAGGGACTGGGACATGGCCATCCTCCCTAGAGAGTGATTTCTCACTTTACCTATCTCTGTCTCTCTTCAGTGAGTGCATGTACCCTATGGCAAAAATCTAAAAAACAAACAAAGGAAGGAATAAAACAATGCCTGGGCTGTATCCCAGACCAAATGAAACCAAATCTCTAAAGATGTTTTTGTTTTTTTTTTTAAAAAAAATAGGCTAATAAAGTGAGTCTAATGAAGTGAGGGTTACAAACCATCACTCTACACCTAGGAAAGCAACCTGATCAATAAATAATCAGGATAAGTCTCACTTACAAATTAAGAGTCTATAATTCTCACTAGGCCTATGTTTTTCTCATCTGTCAACCAATTTTGTATCACATAATCTAAGTGAGAGTAAATATAGCAGAGAGAAAGATTAAGTTTACAGAAGTGGAAAACTGACATTAAGTTAAATCAGTGGTTCCCAAATTTGTCTGCTCAACTACTGCCTTCAAACTTTTTTTGGGGGGGGGAGGTTTTTGCTATAGGGCGCATGTGCTTGCCAGACAGACAGAGAGAGAGAGAGAGAGACAGAAAGCGAGAAATCATCCCCCAGGGGGGATGGTCACACTGCAATCCCTTCTCCTCCATTCTCCTCTTGGGATCTTGGGCATGCACGCACACGCGCCCAGCGTCAGTTTTAAGCCACCGGGTCCGGGACACGAACTGCGGTCGACTACATGGGAGTCCAGCGACATAGCCATTATGCTAACTGCTGGTCCCCTGCCTTCAAACTTTTAAAAACAAACTTTAAAGCCACAGTCCAGACCTCCCTACCTGAATCTCTGGGAGGTAAAGTACAGCTGGGATTTTTTTTTTTTTTTAAATTTTTATAGTCTAGGTGATTCTGTTGCAGTTGGTCTACTGGGCATGAATGCACTACCAGAAACCAGGATGGGGACACAAGTGGCATACAGGCTACCACATGGGAAATCAGAGAGTCCGAAGCCCTCTGATGCCAAATGTGACCTCAGCCATGTTCCCATCCTTTGCCGATCTAAAATAAAATGGGCCATTCCCTGCAATTTGGGCCCCTACCCACTAGAGTTAACTCCCAACCTTTTGGCCTATGTGGGTAAAAGGCCTTTCCAAGCCATAAGCGCAAATCCAAGGGGAGAACTGAGAAAGACATTTTTTTTTTTTTTGGGAGAGGTTTTTTTCTTGCTATAGGGCGCGTGTGCTTGCCAGACAGACAGAGAGAGACATAGAGACAGAAAGCGAGAAATCACTCCCCAGGGGGAATGGTCACGCCACAATCCCTTCTCCTCCATTCTCCTCTTGGGATCTTGGGCACGCACGCACACACGCCCAGCATGAGTTTTAAGCCACCGGGTCCGGGACACGAACCGAGGTCGACTACATGGGAGTCCAACGACATAGCCATTACGCTAACTGCTGGTCCCAGGAAGACAATTCTTTTTCTCAACAAAAAAATTTCTTGGGGCCAGCAGATGGCAAAGTAGTTAAAGGTGCTGGATTCCCACATGGCCAACTAAGGTTCAAATCCCAGACCTGGTGGCTTGCTTTTGCGCTTTCTGTTTCTCTGTGTGGTCAAATTAAGATAATAATAATAACAACAACAACAAATGGAATTAAATAAATAAACCATTCTTTTTTTTTTTTGGAGAGGTTTTTGCTATAGGGCACATGCGTTTGCCAGAAAGAGAGAGATGGAAAGCAAGAAATCACCCCCCAGGGGGGATGGCCACGCCGCAATCCCTTTTCCTCCATTTTCTTCTCAGGACCTTGGGAACGTATGCAGGCATGCATGCCTGGCGTGAGTGTAAGCCACCAGGTCCAGGACTCAAACCATGGTCGACTACATGGGAGTCCAGCAACATAGCCATTACACCAACAGTTGGTCCCTAAATAAATAATTCTTTAAAAAATTTTTTTCTTAAAACGGATGGGAAGAAAATCAGCTTATATGGCTTTTGGGTTTCTGAAACTCACTTTTCTGGTTATCTTCTGTAGTCTAGCCTCTCTACTTAGAATGAGCCAGTAGATTCAGCTAGCTGGGGTGAAAACCATAAGATAACTCAAGAGACCAGGTATTTCTTTCTCTGTTACCCTCTACCCCCCAACTTAACCTGCTCTAAGAACCTCTCTAAGTGGCATTATAAGATAGGCTGGTGTTTAACTGTTATGTACAATATAGCTATATCAGGTGCAAACGCTAATTTTTTTTAATTGCCAGAGGGTACACAAAAGAGAGAGAGAGAAAGCACCCCACAATCTGGGTGGTCATACTGTAACCCTTTCTCCTCCACTTCTCCATCCTGTCAGGATTTGGGGCATGCACACATATGTACCTGGCATAATTTTCAAGCCGCAGCAGCTGAGATTTTTATCACAGTTGCCCATATGGGCTCTGGCTCCCTTAACCACTAGGCCTTAACCAGTAGGCCATGGGGTAGGCCCCAAAATATTCAAATTCTTAACCGGTTAGTCAACGGTTGCTGTGCTCCAGCACATGAAACTCTCTGAATCTCAATAAAGCAGCAACTAAAAATCTGTATCAGGGGCTCCCAGAAGCCTGCTCCAATACAATAGCCAACATCTACTCTGATGGATTAATATTGGTCTCTACTGATGACTATATTTTGAATTATCATTTCTGAGTATACAAAGAAATGTGACCCTTCCAAGGACTTTTGCTTGCTTACAAAAGAGTCAGATCTTAGCTTGGGGAAAGATATTCCCATTGTAAGATTTCAGTTTAGTCTTTGCCCCTCCACCTCCACCCCCAGCATCCCACCTGCCCGTAACTATCTCTCACCTCTGTCCCCATCATCTTCTGGCTCCTCCTGTAGGGCCTGCTCCAGCACAGCTGCATCCCCCTGGGGCCCTGCTGGCAGCTCCCCATTAGACACTGTTTTGTTCAGTGATGGTGGCTGTGGTGGTGGAGGCTGTGCCAGCTTCTGCCGAAGGGCGTTTATCTCTCGGCGCAGTAGGCGGACACGGCGCCTGCGGGCCCCACTAGACCGCATGGCACTCACCAGGTCCAGTTTCTCCAGCAGCTCCTTCAGCTGCACTTCTGGGGACAAATGGGCCCGGTTCTCAGGGATGAGGATGTTGTCCACTGCCAGGGAAAAGGGAGAACAGAAGAGCTGAAGAACCTGCTTAGCCCAGGACAAGGGGAAGGGACCAAATCCTTTGGATGCAAAATATTCTCCTGAAATGCCTGGGCCAGTGGCTTCCAGCAACATTACTGTGGGGCCTTTGCCCTGCAACACAACTGCCTGGAAGTAGGCAAAGGACAGATCAGAATCTGGGAAACATCTATAGGAAGTAGTTTGCAGTCACAATTACGTGCTCTGTGGAGCAGGCACAAGGCAGTTTTGCAATCCCTTGGCCTGAGTGACTGTTCAGCTGCTGCCATCAAGAATCAGAGAGCTGAGGGACCAGTTAGCGTAATGGCTATGTCGCTAGACTCCCATGTAGTCAACCACGGTGCGAGTCCTGGATCCGGTGGCTTAAACTCACGCCAGGCGCGTGTGCGTGCGTGCCCAAGATCCCGAGAGGAGAATGGAAGAGAAGGGATTGTGGCGTGGCCATTCCCCCGGGGGTGATTTCTCGCTTTCTGTCCCTCTGTCTCTCTGTCTGGCAAGAACACATGCCCTATAGCAAAAATCTCTTCCCCAAAAAAAGAAAAAAAAAAAAAAAAAAGAATCAGAGAGCCGAGGAAGGCAGAATATGGGGCTCAAAGGCAATTAAAATTTTCTGGTCTTCCACTTGCACTCTTCTGAATGAGCCACACACACTGGCACTGTACTCCCCCTGCCCAATGCTCTAATGCCATACAGATGAGATGCAGAAGAAGATCCCCGTTAGTGTTTCAGACAGACAGCTACCACTTGATTTTCCTTTTCTACCAACAAGCAGTGCTCAACTCTATCAGTAAAACTTAACCCTCAGGAACTACTGCAGTCACAGATATACCCTAGTCTTGCCTATACCCAGCTTTGCTCCTAGAAACTACCCTAAAGCCCCAAGACCCGCTCTGATCTTAGACTCTCTGGGTTCTGTCCCTGTGCCTTCTCCTGGTCCCTGTCCTCCCCATCCATCCAGACTCCTCACCGTCTTCCCAGGAGAAGCGGTAAAAATCCTTCAATTTTGGTGATTCGGGCAGGTGGGTGCCCCTCTCGGGGTCATAGCCGATGTTCTCTGCCTGCCGCCGGGCATGCCGCAGGATGGCCCCTCCCAGGTCCCGCAGGCGGACAGCTGCTCGGTGGAAAATTGTGTCTTTAGCATTATACTTCATGCAGTTGGTAACTATAAGGTTAAAGTCCTCCTCAAACTCCTCCAAGGTGCAGTACAGGTGGGACTCCAGCTTCCGCCTCATAGTAGAAAAATCCATTGGCTTGGATATGAATTCCAGGTAATCTGGAACCTAAACATATAAAACCTGTACAATTACAACAACCATTTACTAGCCAAACAGGCGCACCCTTCACTGGCAGCTTTGGCTTCCCTGTTTTCTGGTTTGGCCACGCTGGGCTCATTCAGAGCCCCAGGGGCCTGACCCACCCTGACCTGCTGACCTCTCGCCATAGGCAAAGACTACCAGCCTTGCCAGACCCCCTGCCCAGTTTTATACACCTATCACCCAATCCTCCTGGCCTACTCAGACCCTGCTTCCAGTTCAGGAGGGGTTCACTGGGACATGGGGGGAACTTGCCTCACTCAGGTTGACAGGTTCGGCAAATATGTGTGCGGGATCCTTCTCCTGCAGCAGATCGAGTGTTGTCCTCAACAAAACATTGAATGGCATCAGCTCTAGCTCCATGGCAGCCTGTTGGACTTTAACCTGTGGAGGAAGTGGGAAGACATCAAGACATCCCCTACAAAGATGTCTTTCCTTGCTAACTTGACTTTCACCAATTATGTACAACAGTTTTTCATAGGACATGAAGCTCACCACTATCTGAGAAGTTACCACCCAACCCTGAGCCTGGGAATAATGTTACCAACAGTTACCATTTTGTGAGTGTTTCCTATGTATCAAGCACTACATCTGAACTTCCAGTAATAATAGTAGTTATTATTATGGTAATCATAAAAATGAACACTTTTTATATTCTTAATAAGTTCCAGGTAATGTTCTAAGCATTTTCTGCAAAATAATGGTAGGTATAGATGAGGTATTTTACAAAGAGATAAACCAAAGCACACAGAGAATAAGTAACTAGCCTAAGGTCACAAAGCTAGTAAGAGGCAGAGTTAGGATTCAGTCTCAAACAGTTTGGTTCCACAGTGAATGCTCTTAACCATTATGCCATACTGCCTCTTTACTTGTATTACTTCAATTAATCTTTGTAATAATCCTAAAGGAGAAATTATTATCCTTATTTTACAAATATGTAATCTGAGATTTAGAGAAAGTATAATGGAGGAGTGATTAGTCTAAGCTCATCTGGCTAGAAAAGAACAGAGACAGGATTTGAACCCAGATCTGGCTTAATCCAAGGAGCATAGTGATATTAAATGTGTCTTGGACTAGAATTTCCCATCTACTGAGGTGAAATACTATCTTGTCAGCCCGTGAAACAACTAAATTGCCTAGGGTGAGCAAGGTCTCCAAGGTCACCACTCACACAGCAGGCAGCCTCATTTATTTACAGTAGTATAATGTTCAAATGTTATTTTCTACGTGTGTCCTAATATGAAAAGGTTGGGAAGTACAGATTAAACTATGAAAAGTTCCTGCCTCGTGGCTACATCAAAACTGGCTTGTCTGTTTTCCTAGGGCCAACGCCTCCTTCTCCCTCTCATTTCTCAGAACCAGAGGTGGGAAGAGAAGTTCAAGCCTGGGAAGGTAGTTTGAACCCATGGAGAAGCTCCTGAGATGTCCCGCAGGACTACCCATGTTAAATGGACAAGCATGATAGGGCTCAGAAGGGGAAACATGAGTTATTGAGCTCATGGTGGGGCCGAAGAGTATAACAGGGTTTGAAGGAAGATAGGAAGGTCTTTAATCAAGGCCTCTGAAGCATGTGAGTTACAGCTGCATTCCTGGACCAGAGAAAACCGTTTTGGCTTGCCACCCATTCAATTAATAGTAAATTAGTGTTCTCCTCTATGTGCAAAGCACTGCAGTAGACACTTCAAGGGAGGCAAAGAGAAGCAGTAATAAGAATGGTAATAATGGCGGCTGATACTTCTATAGCCTTCACTGTGTACCATGCACTGTTCTAAGCTCTTTACATATGCTCTGTCATCAAATTCTCAAAACAACCCTTATGATGCAGGCTCTATTAATATTATCCCTATACTACAGATGAGGAAACAGAAGTATTAGGAAAATTAAACAACTTGGTTAATGTAGTTAAGTACAGAGCCAGAATTTAAACCTAGGCATTCTGGTACCATAGCTTATGCTCTTAAAGCCCTATGTAATACTACGTACCTTGACATTCCCCATGTTCAGGGGCTTAGAACTTTTTCTGTAGGGCACGTGCGCTCACCAGACAGACAGAAAGCGAGAAATCACCCCCCAGGGGGTACGGTCACGCCGTAATCCCTTCTCCTCCATTCTCCTCTCAGGAACTTGGGCACGCACACACACGTGCCCGGCGTGAGTTTTAAGCCACCGGGTCCGGGACGCGAACTGCGGTTGACTATGTGGGAGTCCAGCGACATAGCCATTACACTAACTGCTGGTTCCCAGGGGCTTAGAACTTCTTGAACAGAGGTTGGAAATTTTAAATGACTCAAGACCATAAAAGTTTAAAGGCCAAGTGAGAATCTTCACAAAGTCCCAGGCCAGAGTTTTTCAACTGGTACTATCCATTAGAATGGTCTAAGAAACTTTTCAAAATACTCAAGGCCATGCTCCCCTAAAGACTTCTTGAATCAGGGAACCAGCAGTTAGCGTAATGGCTATGTCGCTAGACTCCCATGTAGTCGACTGCAGTTCGAGTCCCGGACCCGGTGGCTTAAAACTCACGCCTGGTGTGTGCACGTGTGTGCCCAAGATCCTGAGAGGAGAATGGAGGAGAAGGGATTGCGGCGTGACCATCCCCCCTGGGAGGTGATTTCTCGCTTTCTGTCTCTCTGTCTCTCTCTGTCTGGCGAGCGCACGTGCCCTATAGCGAAAATCTCTCAAAAAAAAAAAAAAAAGACTTCTTGAATCAGACGCTCCAAGGATGGGTCATCCATATGATAGTATGCTTATACTTAAGGACTCAAAGAGCTGAACCCCAAAAGGTGGAAGTCATGAGCAGCACCATACCCAATACAGAGTAGGTAGACCTTGGAGCAGACAGTACTGGGTAGGAAGGGGAGAAAAATAGCTAGCACCAGACGGAGGCTCTTTGGTCTCCCAGTGCCACACTAACAGTGAGAGAAAGAGAACTTGAACAAGAGCCCTGAAGCTAGAGGCTCATCCCTACCTGTTCCCGCTTGAGCTTTTCTCTCTTCCGAATCAGTTCAATTAACAGCCGTGCCCGCTCCAAGTCATGCCGGAGCTTCTGCCAGTATTTCAGCTCTTCCTTTACTGCGCTTGTCTTCTCATCCTGCTCACGCTGAAAAGGGGAAAAGGAAAAGCTGAGGGCCTCCTCCCTGCCTAGCCCTCTCTTGCTAAAGCTTCGTGGAGCTTTACCAGGTAAGAGTCTTGTCCCTTTCCTTGACCCACCATCCTTGAGAGCCCTTTTACCCCCTCTTTACCCCATGCTTTCCTCCTGAACTTCCTCAGCCTTAAATTTCATCAGTAAAGCACAATTTTAACCATTGCTGGCTTGGGGCCTGAGGTTACTTCCCCCTGTCCTGGGAGACATCAGGGAGCTTCTCTGCTACTCAGGTCTATAAAGAATTTCAAAAGAAAACTAACAGACACCTTAGAGGTAGAAAGATTTTCACCCTAGAGCTTCAAATTGGCTAGAAAACAAAGTAAAGTTCTTACAAGCTTGTAGTAACTAGCTTAAACATACTGTGATAAAACAACAATACCTGTGATTACTGCCCTAGAAGAGGTTATAGTTGTAGATAAGAGAAGGAAGAAACCCAAGGTTTGAAGCACAAGGACATATTAGCATAAAGACAACAAAAACAGATAACATAAACTGAATATAAAATTCTTAGAGGATACAAATAGAGTAAGGATTTGAGTGGATCAGGCAAGGGTTCTTGGAGGGAGCAATCTTAGAGTTTCACATACAATGAGGGATATGGATGAAGGTCCTCTCCTGGAACCAAAGGGACCAGCAGAGTGGAAATGTGGAAGCATAAACAATGATTCTTTGCTTGGAGAGCTGGCTAGAGCAAGAATGCTAAAG